GGGAAGCGCCGGCTGGGCTTGGAAAATTACTGGCTGGATGGTGGAGGGAGCGGCGGCGGGGCGGGCGCGGGGCCCGGTGCGGCCCTGCTCGGGCCCGCTCGGAACCGCTCGAAATGCTCGAGCAGGCTCGGAAACACTCGGAACCGCTCGGCTCGGCCCGGGCGGACGCCACGCCGGCCGGTTCGGGGCCGCTCGGAACCGCTCGGGCAGGTTCGGAACTGCTCGGAGCCGCTCGGAGGCGCTCGGACACGCTCGGAGGCGCTCGGCAGGGCTCGGCCCGTCCCGGTTCCGGTGCGGACGCTGCTGCCGCCGCCGCCGCCGCCACCGCCGCCGCCTCCGCCCGCCCCTGAGCGGCGCGGCCCCGGGGCCGGGGGCGGCGGCGCGCGTGGGCCGCACGGGCGGGGAGAAGACACGGGGAGAGGATACGGAGAGGCGGGAGGGCGGGGGGCACGGGGCTGACAGTAGGTGGGCGGGAAGGCTGTGAGGGGATAGGAGAGTGTGGGGCAGTGCGCGCGCGCGCACACACAGACAGGCGCAGCGGCGGGAGCGCGCGCGCGGCCGGGGGCGCCCCCCAGCGGATGCACGGGGGCATAGAGGGGCGGGGGGAGCCCCTTGTGTGAGCACACGGGGACACGTGTGTATGCACACGGGGACACGTGTGCCAAAGGAGACACGTCTGTGGGCACACAGACACACGCATGTGAACACAGAGCTCGGTGTCCGTGAACACGGAGACATGGCTTGCACGTACATGCACACACACGTGCACATGTATGCACGCATCCCTGTGCACACACAAATACACATGTACACAACACAGAGCACGCACACAACCCATGTACACACACACACACACGCACTTGAACGCACCCCGCCCCCGAGGTCCGCGCATCCCTCCCTCCTCCTTTGGAATCCGCCTTCCTGGAGGAACACGTCCGTCCTCCCCCCCTCGGCCTCCCCATTGGCTGCATTCCCCTCCCGCCTGCCTCCTGTCGCAGAGCAGCCCGGCGGGAGCGGGCTTCAGGTGTTTCCAGTGGTACATCCATCCCCAGCTGGAGTAGCCCTTCCCTATCCGCCCCCCCCCCCCCCCCACGGCCACCGTGGTGTCTCCTCTACCCCACCGTGGGGACACCTCAACCCCACACGGGACAGCTTTTTAAACCTGGACCCCACCACAGGGATCAGCCAGGACGAAAGGACAGAAAGCAATGACGCGCCGAGGCTGCGGTGAGGGTCGGGAGGGAAGGCCGTGGTACCCTGAAGCATCCTGGAAGGGATGTCACCCAAGGGCATAGAGTCATCGGTGGCAGAGGCAGAAGTGGGGCAGCTCCTGGCTCGGGACCGTAAACCCTGCTCTGGGACTAATTCGGAAGGATTAAAGGATTTAATCCCAGGATTTGAACCGGAGCTTGGAGCAGGATTTGGTAGTTTGGGCAGATTTTCACCCTAATTTTGGCAGCTCACGGAATGCCAGAGCATGCCAGCACCAAAGATCTAGGAACTTTTCCTCTGAGTATCAAATGCCCAAAATAAAACTGTCAGATTGGGTTGGGATGAAAGAGCTGCATTGATCTTGGATAATGAATTGCTCCTTAGCTGGACGGCAGGAATGAAAACCACAGCCCTGATGCACGGATGATGGGCAGACTAGAGGGTCCCCTCTGGGGCCATGCAGGGATGGCTGCGGGAGCCAGAGGAGCAGCTGGATTCTGCCTCAGCCACAGGCACAGAGGGGTCCCAACACAGGTCTCATCCTGCATCGCAGCCTAGGATCCCACTGCAGTCCCAGCCCAAGCTGGATCCAGCCCCAGGCCCAGCTCCCCCTGCTGCCAGATTGGATGAGTCCCAACATCGCTCCTGTCCAGGCATGGGGGGGGTCCCAACCTGGCAGATGGGGATAGAAAGAGCATCCCAGGAGATTGGAGCATCCTGAGGTTCTGGAACATTTCAGGAGGGAACAGGGAAGGGACAAGAGCAGCTGGAGCACTCAGAGGGGATCAGTGAATCCTGAGGCATTGGAGCATTCCAAGAGAGTGGAACATCCAGGCAGCGGCCGGACCTTCCTGGGACATCAAAGCTACACGGCCCAAGCTGAATTCTACCCCTGAGGGTGATTTTGGGGTTCATGAGTCTTAATTGGAGTTCCCCAGGCCCCAACAAGGCCACCCACCAACCTGTCACGGGGAGGTTGACATATGAAATTTATTTAGGAAAACCAAAACCCACCAAAAAAAGAGAAATAATAATAAAGAAGGAGGAGGAGGAGGAGAAACAGTAGGGGGAGGAGGAGGAAGAGAAGACGGAGGAGGAAGAGAAGAAGGAGAATAAGAAAAGAAGGAGGAGAGGAAGAAAGAGAAGTCATCTCCTCCTTAGGCTCCATTGGAGTCCAGAACAACCAGTGCCGCAAGACAGAAGGACAGAAAAGCTGGAGGAGGCTTGCACACCCACACACGCCTGTGCACACTCGTGGGTGAGCTGGGCTGGGTGCAGGCTGCACTCCCCAGTATCCAGAAGGGTATGTACAGGGGCAGGAGCTGGGAAAGCATTGACTACCTACACACACCAGCAGCAGGGGCTGGAAAAGTGGGATACAGCTGGGAAACGGACATCCCTGTGAGCCCCCACCATGGTGTGGTACCCGGGATGCAGAACCCAAGTGCAGGACACCCCCACATCTATTGGATGGAGAGATCCATGCATCATCAGGCATCCCTGGATCAGCACTGGGATGCAGGGACTGTCTTTGAACAGTTGTACCTACTGGCACGTTGGTACCAGGGCTGTGCCAGCGTCACAATGGGGATAGAGCTGCTGTCCTCCTCTTGCAGCTTCAGGGTTTGCTGCCTTCTGGGACCCTCCCCACCCCCTATGGCAGTGTGGGGAGGGAGAGAAGGGCTTAAGGGGGTCTTGGAGGCAAAGCCATGGGCCAGCAGACAGACTCAGTCACCAGGTGGGTCCCACCAGGGTTTGGGCAAAGCATCTCACTAAAGGCATCTCCGAGTAGGTAAGGCAAAAGGAATTCAGGCCACTTCATCCATGTGGAGCATCTCAGCGTTGGGGTCTCCCATTGCTCCTGCAGACACACGCTCCAGGTATCCCGAGAACACAGGCAAGTCATCGCTTACAGACAAGCCAAGGAGAGAAGCAGCCGCTGCGTAGCCCAAATCCAGGAGGGACCTGCTGTGGCACCACTTGGGATGTGCCATGGGATACTGCAGAGGAGTGAGGATGGGGCGGCAAATTGCCCCATGTCCACTTTTGATCCCAACACGAATGTCAGCAGTGCCATAATTTTACCATGCTGCTCCCATCGCCTTTCCCTGGTGTGGTGGTGGACTCATCCAGCTCCCACAAGCTGGATGATGCAGACTGGGAGCTCAGTGCACCCTAATCTCTCAAGGCTGAACACCCTCCCTCAGCCCCCTCTTCAGCTCTGCCCCAGCAGGGCAAGCTGTTCACTGCAGTTCCCCTGCTCATGGGTGTTTCAAGTGGCTTTGGCTGGGGTGACAGAGCCCTGGGTCACATACAGCTGGTTGGACTCTGGTAGCTGGTGGAGCCCCTGGGACTGAGAGGGTCTATATGGGTTGGGTTGTGGGACTGGAGACCACAGGAAGGTCAGCAGGGTCCATGCTCAGTGGTCTGTAGGACAGGAGGAATCAGAGGAGAGCATTGGGGTCCACGCATGGTGGTCTGCAGGACCAGAAAAACCACAGGAGGTTGGTGGGGTGCATGCATGGCAGTCAGGACAAGAAGGGAGTCACAGGAAAACACCAGGGTCCATGCATGACCAGATCAACCATGGTAGACCAACAGAATCCATGCATGGTGCCAAGTAGGACTGGAGGGACTGCAGGAAAATGGCAGGGTCCATGCATGGTGGTCTGCAAGACCAGAGGGACCACAGGAGACCATTGAGGTTCATGCCCAGTGGTCTGCAAGACCAGAGGGATCCCAAAATGTCAGCAGGATCCATGCACAGAGGTTGGTATGGCAAGAGTTGTGAAGCCACTGTGAGCTAGGGATGCTCACAACACGGTCACCAGAGAAGCTGCTTGCAGTGAGGAGGCTCCTGGGTGGACACCTCAGAGGAACACCTATGTAAGTGGGGACACGGCAAGGACATGTATGGGACCAGATGGACCCCCTGTGGAGCACAGCCTCCCCTGTGCATGCCAACCAGCAGCAGGACTCTCCAGCCTTGGAAAGTGTGTAGCCCTTGTAGGGGACGTAGCTGTGTGGTTGCATGGGACTGGGCTATGTGAGAGATATGAGCCCTTCCATGGGTAAGTGGGTTCAGGGGTCCTAGAGAGGTGGGGCTTTTAGCCAACAGATGCTCAGCATCAGCATCAACGGATGCTGCTAGGAAGAGGCTGGAGTTGGTTCTCTAGTGTGGAACCCAGCAGGGGAAGCAGGCACATCCCCATGGCTGTGGCCATCCCACTCTGGTGTGTGTCACTTTCCTCCTCCAGCTGGAGCCAACCTTCTTCCATGGACCCGATCCATGGTCCATGACAACAACCCCCACACGCTCTATAGTCACCCCACAGCTCTCCCACTGCCCCTTGCCATCCTGCCCCACACCATCCCCCCCTGTCCTGCTAACCCATGCACACCCATGTCATGGTGACTGACCCCTCTGTGGGTGCTTCCACCAAGGATATCATTCCTACTGTCATCCCATGGGGACAGGAACTGCAGTCTTAAGGCAGCTTAAAGCACATACATCCCCCAGCCCCACTGTGTCCCTTGGTGCTCCCAGCCACCAAGGCAGTGTCCCAGGGACCACCGGGTGGACAGGACACCTGAACACCTGCCCCGGAGGGAGGAGATAGTCACCCAGTGGTGGGGAAGGACTGGTGGTGGGTGCTGGCAGCACACAGCCCTTGCCGTGGTAGTCCAGAGTCATTGATATCCCCCCAAACCTCCTCCCCATGGGCTGGGGGATGAGGCTTGGGGATGCTCCTGGCCCAGCCATGGCTGTGGCCCCCCCATCGCCTCCCTCACTCGGCTCCAGCCTCGGGGGGCTGCCCCGCCTCAGGTTCCAGGCAGCCGTTGAGCTGGGGGTCAGGGGCCTGTGGGTCATATTCCTCATCCAGAAAGTCCAGAGAGTTGTTACTGGGCAACCCCCGGATGGTGAATTTGTGGGAGACCTTGGTCCACTGCTCCCGGTTGCTGGCCACCCGCTCGTAGAGCTCCGCTGCCTTGGGGAAGAGATCCTGCAGCAATCTGGGGAGTGGGAGATGCACTCCATCAGCACAGGGATGCACTCCCATTACTTCGATGCAACCCCATCCCCATTGCTTGGAATGCCTCCCAAAAATCTGCAAGACCCCACACAGCACCCCATCCCACCCTAAGGGAGGTGAGGGTGGCAGGGGGTCCTCCCCATCCCAGCACCAGCGCTGGGGCTCACTTGTAGATGGGCATGGCAATGTGCTCCATGAAGCTGATCTGCAGCTCGGGGATGTAGGCTTTCTCCCGGTCCATCATCTCCAGTGGGCTGTTCCCCATGGCTTTCTCCTGCGGGAATGGCAAGGGGGGACAGTGCCAGTGGCACTTTCCCGCCATTCCCAGGCAAGACCTCTCTGCTCACTGCCCCCCATCCCATCGGTGCTTTTTAGGAGCATCAGCCAAGCCCAATCCCTCCAAGTGGTACCTACCAGGTCACCCTGGGAGAAGAACTCCTTGTAGATCAGCTCCTGCAAGAGACAGGTGTCAGCACAGGGGGTGCAGCCTGGGATGATCCTCCATCCCCCCTGCCCTCCAGACATGCCCCCTACAGCTCTGAATCAAGCAGGCAGACAGACTGCCTTGGAGGGACTGCTGCACGGTTCAGGGTCCTGCATGGAGGAACCCCCTCCATGAGGGGCAGGTGTGTGCCTGGGGACATGAAGGTGGCCTAGGTGGGTTGTGAGGTGGCATTCAGAGGGTTTAGCTCCATGATGTGGCACTCACTGCAATCTTCCTGGTGGTCTTCCAGCCCTTGGTCTGGTCAGAGAGGTCACAGGAAGTCATGAGCAGGCAGAGCAGCAGGCTGCGGTGCTGCTTGTTCTTGGGGTCATATCCCACTGTGGGCAGAGTGTGGGGCAGGGGTTGGGATGGGGGGCTCAGGACAGAGCTCCAAAGCCCCCATCACACCACACATGAGGACTTCAAGGACAGCCGGAACATCCTGTGTCACATCCCAGCCTTGGTGGGATGTGTTCCTACCACCCCTCAAATCCCAATCTCCATCCCAGGAGCTTCACCTTCTGCCATTTTCTGGAGATCCTTGAAGATGCGGAGGTGGTGGGCCAGGTCAGTGGCCAAGATGATGTCCCGCATCAAGTCCAGCATGCGCTGGTAGTCCTGTGGGCAAGGTAGCTGCCATGACCAGCTCTGTGCCCCTGCCAGCTCCCACATCCCCTAGGATCCAGGGATGGGGAGCAGGAGGTCTGGAGAGGACACAAGGGCTCAGCATGGGCAGGGGGTGGCCTGAGAGAGGTGTTATGGTGGGGGGCTCACCTTTCGGGAGAAGTGGTCAAAGATGTTGCAGCCTTGGCTATTGAGGATAGCAATGGCTTGGGCAAAGTGATGCCTCTGTGGGAGAAGCCAGGACCGTGAAAGCAGGCAGGGAGCAGGCAAGGATGCTGCCACGCAGCCAGAACCCAGGAGAGATGGGCAGCGAGAGATTTGGGAGATCTTACCTCCATGACAGAGCCCTCTGAACTGTAGAGCGCGGCCAGGACCGATTTCTGCAAGGTAGAGCAGCCAGAATGATGGAACTATGGGGGTGAAGACCCCCACAGCTGTCCCCATACCACCACTTCCCCCTTGCCCATCCCAGCTCTGGGCTCGGCTCACCGAGGCCACCTGGAAGGAGTTATTTGTGCCTCTGTGGTCCAGGTCATGGCACATGCAGGAGATGAAGAGGGCAAAGATCTCGATGTCTCTGGGGAGGGGGAGGAGGGAAACTGAGGCAGGCAGGAGAGCAAGGGAGCACCCCAGCCAGGCCAGGGGATGGAGAACAGGGACAGGGATAGCACCTGGCCTTACTCCAGGTAGTTAACGAGCTCCAGGTTTTTGTAGAGCAGGTAGCAGAAGTGGGAGACGGAGAACGCGTGCATCCAGTTATGGTAGGGAGGGTCACGGTACCCCTTCTTCACCATCAGGCAGAACCTGGACAGAGCCAAAGCCATGTGGGGGGAGGTGTCACCCCACAGGAACCTCCACCTGGCCAGGTGTCCACCAGGGAGGCATAGGCATGGAGATGGGGATGAGGATGGGATGGGGAAGGATTGGGGACGGGGCCAGGGAAGGTAGACATTTATCTGGATGGGGATGGGCATAGGGATAGGGATAAGGATACAGACAGGAGACAGAGAAGGTGACAGTGATGAAGATGTGGATGGGGACAGGGACATGGGTGTGGACAGGAATGGGGAAGGAGATGGAGGGGATGGCCAAGAGGAAGGGAATGGGGAAGGTGGACAGTGGTGTGGATGGGGATGGAAATGAGGATGGAGACAGGGAAAGCGGACAGGGATGGGAACTCACCTGGTGAGCGTCTGACGGTCCATCTTGTAGTTGTTGATGAAATTCATGTCCTGCAGCATGCTCAGGATGGCCTGCAGACAGGATAGGGTGGGTGGCAGGGAATGACAATGGCCAGCAAGGTTCCCCCACAAGCCACCCCTGCCCCTGCTCAGCAGGAAGATGCTCAGGGGTGCAGCCACATCCCTTCACCCCAACACCCCAGCACCCAGGGTTGGGATATATGACCTGACCGAGGCCAGGCAGGGGATGGTGCCAGCTGAGAGTTATCCCCATGGTCCTCACCATGGAGGTGTCGTCCTCAGGCAGTGAGCGTGGTGTGTAGGTGAAGCTGGCAAAGTTGGGGTCAATGGTGGACACAGGCTGGATGCCCTCGCTCAGCAGTTTGGTGTACTCATCATCAGACACCTGCAAGAGCCATGGCCAGTGGCCCGCAGTATTATGAGGCTGCCAGGTGTCCCAAAGGCCACGTGAAGCACAGTGAGAGCAGAGAGCCTTGGGGTATCACCACCACCCAACTGTGTGACCACCTTGGGGTAAAGTGTGGGGCACCATGCTGGCCGCGGGGGTCCCATCCCTGTCCCTGTCCTCATGCTACCTCACCTTCATGTGGTACATCATCATCTCATTGGCCAGGTGGCTTCGGTACTGTGCCTCATTCACCTTCTTGTACAGCAGGGACTGTGGGGCAGGATCAGGGTATGGGAGTGCTGGGGGTGGGCAAACACCCTCCAGCACCCCCAAGCCCACCCTGGCACCACAGCACATCTTTGTGCCCATTAATTCCCTTCCCATCCAGTGGCCACCACCACTTGTCCCCAGGGAATGGGGACCAGACACACATCCCCCCATCCCCATCCCTCTGTGCTGTGGCAGAGCTGGGACACACACCTTGTGTGTGACCCCCTCCAAGTGGAGGACCCCCCAGCACATACGTGGGCGATGCTGATCCCGCAGTAGATGGAGAAGGCGGTGGCCAGATCCTCGTCGAACTTGCTGAACCAAGGGCCATTGATCTTGTTGACCAGCTCTGCCACCCCAATGACCTCTGAAGCAGAGGGAGGACAGCAGGGGTATCAGGCCCTTGTATTGGTTACAGGGTCATGCCTGTATGCTGGGGACAGCACTGTGTCCCTGGGCTTAGGGCAAGGTTATGCCCAAGTAGCAGGGACAGGCTATGCCTGTGGGTTGGGGACAGCATGACATCCACATTCTGAGGACACTGCAGTGCCCAGGGGCTGGGACAGGCTCATGCCCAGGGACAGTGCTGTCCTCACGTGTTGGCAGACAGGATTGTGCCCACATGCAGGGTACATGATCATGCCCATGTGCTGGGGTCAGTGCTCTCTTTGTCTGTGGGGGGATCACACCCAGCAACTGTGCCCTTGTGCCAGGAGACAGCGCTGAGCCCAAGGGTTGGGACAGGACCATGCCCACATTCATGGGACAGAATGGTGCCCTGATGCTGGACAAAGGACTTTGACATGGGACTGGGACAAAGTCATGCCCATGTGCTAGGGCAGTGCTCTGCCTATGGGATGGGGACAGAATGGTGCCCATGGGCTGGGGACAGAATGGGGACAGCGCTGAGCCAGGATTGCACCTCTGTGCTTGAACAGGACTCATGCCCACGGGCTAGGGATGATGCTTTGCCTGTGCCTGCATGCTGGGGACAGTGTTGTGTCCACATGATGGGTGATCAAACCACCACATGCTGACTGAGGAACCTGCTGGGCCAGACCTGTGTCCCCCTCTTCCCAGTGTGCCCCCATCCCTCCCTCACCCTGGCTCTCATTCTTGATGGGGAAGCAAAGGATGTTGCGGGTGCGGAAGCCAGTGCTGTCATCCACCCCACGGTAGAAGAGCGGGTGCGAGTAGGCATCCTTGATGTTCAGGATCTTGCCAGTGGTGGCCACGTGGCCAGCGATGCCCTGATCTGCTGGGATGCGGATCTCATAGCTCTGTGGGCAGGGGAAGATGATCACCAGCAAGGCCTTGGGGGAGGGACACAACCCCAGGCCCCCCAACTCCATCCTGTCCTCACCTCATCATCCACCACTCCACCATCGAACACCTTGGCCACCAGCTCATGACTGAGCCGGTCCAGCAGGAACACAGAGCATCTGCAAGACACACAGCTGCCATTCGTACCCACAGGGGAGCTCAGTGTCCCCCCGTGTCCCCTCACCCGCTGTGGTGCCCTGCCACCACCACTCACATCTCAGCATTGCTGAGGTTCCGGGCCTCCGTAATGATCTCCTGCAGCAGGACAGAGACATCATCTGCAGGGGGAGCAGGGAAGGGTCAGGGACCCCGAGCCAGGCAGCGCTGCCCCCTCATCCCCCACTCATGCAATGAAAACAGGGAGGAGGGTTTAGCTCAGGGTCCCAGCAGGAAGTCTGGGGGCACAGAAGGATGGGGGCTGTGTGGGGCATGTGCATGTGTGAGCAGCACATACGTGTGTGCAGCAGTGCACACAGGCAGCTGCACACGTGCATACATGTTTCTGAGAGCTCTGTGGTCATGCTACATGCAGGCATGCATTCCAGGTTCTGTGCCAGCCTTCTGTAGGCCATTCCCCAACAAGGGGACAAGGTTCTCCCTGGCTGGGGACAGAGACCCCAGTGCCACCACCCTCCAGGGCTGGGCGTGGGGACTGGTCATCCATTCCCCATTCCACTCGCTCACGATGGGTGCTGTCCAATGCACCTACCCAAATGGGTGAAGAGGTTCTTTGCCACCTGCAGCAGGGCCTGAGGGGACAGAGAGGATGCTATCAGTAACTAGTGCAAGATGGGGCACAAACACACTCGTGGCATAGCCCTGCACATGCTCACCTGGCACTCACACTTGAGCTTCTGCTCCTTCTGGAAGGCCAGGGTGCTAGTGAGCACCGTGGAGGTGTAGCAGAAGCAGTGCTGGATCTTGTGCTCATCCGTGTCTGTGTAGCTGGCGGGGGCACACCTCAGTTCTCCGTCCCCATTGGCTCCCCCCCTTCTCCACGGCAACAATGCTCCAGCACCCCGAAAGTGAGGGGATGCAGCCCCAGAGAGTCCCAGCCAAAATGCTGCTCACCTCTCCCCACTCAGTTTGTTGAAGGCGCAGGCCAGTGCCACCACCTGGGAGGTGGCCCGGCTAATGACAGGGACACAGAGCATAGAGGTGACCTCGCAGCCCAGCATGCTGCTCAGCTGCTTGTGCTCCTCCTGCAGGGAGAGGCGAGATGGAGCTGGAACCAGCACCCCTCCAGGAAGCCCCATGGGACACTGGTGTGACACCCGTGTCTCCAGGTGTGGGAAGGACACAGCTGGTACCCACCTCACTGATGTCCTTCAAGGTGATGGGCTTCTTGTCCTCCACCACCTGCCCCAGGCGCCCAAAGGTGAGCTGTGGGGAGAGGGGACATGTTAGCCTATGGAACTCTGACTTCCCAACCCCTCACCACGTCCCCTGCTCACTGAAAAGCTGATTTCCTCATCCAAGACACGGTCCCCCACCACCTGGAAGAGATGGGAAAAAGGGGGTGCCTATGAGGATGACACCATGTCAGGGGGTGTCATGTAATCCTCAGGGTTGGGGGGCTGGCCCAGTGGCACCTACCTGGCAGAAGAGCTGGTGGTTGTCCTCAGAGACGAGCAGGAGGCAGCAGCACAGAGACTGGGTCTCCTGTTTCAGCTGGGGAAGAAGGGGAGGGTCAGCACCCCAGCCTGTCCCAAGCACTCCCCAGGTGGAATCCAGCCCCTCCTCTGCCTCCGTGTGCCCAGGGCACTCACACAAGCCACAGAGAACCAGGTGCCCCTCCCCAGAACCTCCTCCCCATTACTGAGCGGGTTCACTCTGGAGACTACTGATGGCAAGGGGAATCTGGACACTCCTGAGGGTCCTACTAAGGTACAGAATGATAGAGAGCAGGAGAGGAACCTGTACGTTCTCTCAAGGAGTTTTTGGGGCGAGGGTGGCACTGTTAACTCTGGAGACTATTGATGGTTGTTCCAAGGCTGCTCACTCTGGTCACTGCTGATGACTGCACAGCTGATGCTTGAGGCTTTTCTTGGCTTTGGGGAATTTTCTTGTTTTGGAATAAAACAGGGCTCCCTGGTGTGTCCTGGGGCTGGGGGCAGATGGGGACAGGGGGCTGGTGGAGCAGCTACTCACGTAGTTGATGACCTTGAGCTGCAGCGAGGCGGCATCCAGGTCGTACAGCTCACCTGTAGGAGGGTCACAGAGGGGCTGAGCATGGTTTCACCCTGACCACACACGCCACCCTTCCCAGTGTCCCACTCACCACAGAGCTGTAGGATCTTGCAGTCCAGGTCACTGTAGCTGCTGCCAGGTGCCTTCTCAGGCTTGGCCAGAGAGGTCTGGGAAGAGCTGGTGGAGAGGCTGACCTGGGGCCAGGGCTGCAGCTTCTGCAGGGCTTGCAGGCGCCGGAATGCCACCAGGGCCTGCAAGGTTGGGCAGAAGGGACAAGGAACAGCAGCAGGGCTGGGGGAAAGGGTGGTAGGTCCCCAGGTGGCAGGTCCCACAGCTCAGAAGGAATCACTCACGTGTCTCTCTAATGCACGCAGGTTCTGCTCGTCTGAGTCACTCAGCTGGCCACAGTGTACCTGGATCAGGAGTGATGTCAGGACCCTCGTGTCCAGGCCCTGTCCCCAGAGCCCTGCCCATGTTCCTGCACTCACCAGGATGACGCAGACCACGGCCCCACTATTCTTGTCCACCAGCGGGATGATGAGCACTGCAAAAAAGAGAGTGTCGGTCCCAGCCCGGAGCTGTGGAGCTCAGCTCTTGGGCTGCATGTCCCCATTACGTCTTGATGTGTCATGACCCAGCCATCTATCCATCTTCCCATCCCTCCGTTATCCATCTGCCCATCTCCAAGCTTACCTGTCCCTGAGAACACTCCTCAGTCCCAGTGCCCACCCGTCCCTCATGCCTTCATCCTGTTTCTACCCATCCGTCTGTGCATCCATCATTCATCCACACACTGTTGTCTCAGCTACTGCCTCTGACCACCCATGGACCATCCATCCACGCATCTATCCATCCCCTCACATCTCCATCCCTCTCCCTGTCCCTCCATCTATCCACCTACCACCCAGCCCTATGCCCATACCCCCATGTACGTCCACCAAGACCACCCTTCCCACAGCTCCCACCTTGTGTGCCAGGGGCCAGGGGGGCTGCCAGGGGTCCCAGGTGCTGGCCAGGGAGCTCGGCAGGGAGCAGCCCTGCACATTCCATCCGCTTCTGCTTCTGCACAGCATCCCTGGAGGGACAGAGATACTTTGAGCACCCCCTGGGAAGGGCACCTGGGAAGATAAATCCCCAGGAAGGGGGGGCAGAGACATCCATGGGATAGGGACGGGCTCAAGGGCTGTGCAACACATGTGCATACGAGTGTCCCTGCACACATGCACAGCCCCTGGCCACAAAGGTGTGTCTTCCAGCACACACACATGAGCGTGTGCCTGTGCCCAGGGCTGGGGAGGTGGCCAAAGCTGATCTCACCTGAGCTTCCCATTGGGTGGCAGCTCATGGGGGGGGTCATCGCAGAGCAGCCGTGTGTCCCCATCCAGCAGGTAGATGTAGACATGCTCCTGGGGGAGAGAGAGGCAGCACACACGTGTGCAAACATGCACACACAGCCACATGCATGAACACGTGGGCACCCACAGCTGCACGTGCACACATGCACAAATGCACCCCTGCACACACACATACAGAGTTGTGCACAGGTGTGTGCACACTCACCTGCACATGTGTGCACCATTCACACCCAGCCATGGCTGGGGGCCCCATGGAATGGCACTGGCACATTGCCCAGCCACCACCAGCATCAGGGCACCCCCAGGGTCACCAACACCCTAGGGCCACCGTAAGCACCAGGGCCACCACCAGCACCCTGGGGCTCTCCCATATAAGAGGAGAACTCAGCAGTGGGCTGGAGATAAAGAGACCCCACCCTAGGCTGAACCCCAGCATCAATCCACTCTCTACTCCCTCCAGGGCTCCCCCCAGTCCAGGGGGTCTCAGCAACCCCACAACCCCCACCCACCCAAGGAGGATGCTCTGCTCCCCATTCCTCCCAGCCGCCAGGGGATGGACCCCCCACCTACCACAGCGGGCAGCAGGGTGACAAGGGCATGGCGGAGGGCGTCACGCAGGGTGGTGGCATCGAGCGCAGCGCCCAGGCTCAGCAGAGCATCCTGCAGAGACAAGAGCAGAGCAGGGGTTACTGGGGGTTGATACCATGGGGAAGGGCACTGCAGCACCCACCCCCTCTCAACCCTGCCATGGCACGGGTCCTTCTGCCCCCAGACCCCTTGCAGTGGCCTCCAGTCTGGTGCCTTTTTTGGAGCCAAACCCTCCTGTGTTGGTCAATGTCCATCATGTGGAGAGGTGGGAGGTCCCCAAAAAGGGAGAGGAGGCTTTGGCACTGAGCCACACTGCCCTCAGTCATAAAGCACCCGTGGGAAGAGAAATGGGGCAAGGAGATGGATTAAAGCTCATCTGAGGATTGTGTTGGGATGGACATGTGGAAAAGCTGGGGGCACAGGGGGCTCTGTGGTGCAACCCTCCCAGCTCTGTTCCTGCCTCCAGCCCTTGTCTGGGAGACTGGAATAAGGATGATGTTATGATGGAAATAGTAAAGGCTTGGAGTCAGACACTGGATAATGGTGTTGGGATTTGCTCTTCCTCTGGTCCCAGCTTTGCCAGGTGGCTCCAGGCTCCATTCCTGATAAGTAGACCTGGGGACTGTCATGTACCCCATGACCCCATCCAGGACAGCAGCCCCTTGCAGGGCTGTGCCACCCACCCACCCAGGGAGCACACTCAGCCATGGGGGCAGATCCAAGTGGCACTGGGAGCGTGGCTGGTGGTGAGGGTGCTTCCAGCTGAAGACATCGGCACTGGATGTTATTCCAACAGGGCCGCATCTCCAGTCACTTACTCACACTGGAGACACATGCACTGTAGAATACAGCCAGGCCTCAGCAGGTGGCTGTCCTGCCATCCCTCTGTCCCACCGGATCCTCCACAGTGGCCCCCCTGGGGCAGGGGAAGATGGGGCAGAGCCTGAGCGGGTCCCTTGGGTCTGCTTGGGGCATCAAATACAGGGGGCCATTCTTGGTGTGGGGATGGAAAAGTGGCAGCTGGACATGGGTGGTGGCTTTATTAGGGCTGGGAATACAGGTCCATCCATGAAACAGTGAGGGGAAGGCTGCAGGAGCTAAAAGAAGTTATTCCCAAGACAAGGAGACAGCAGCAGAGGCAGGCAGGAGGGTTTGCAGCCTAGCAAGAAGGTAGGGAGAGTGAGGGTGGGCTGGGAAGGACATCACACTCATTCCACTTATCCCACTCATCCTGCTAAACTGCTTCTCCCACTCATTCTACTCTTTCCACTAAGCTTATTCACTGTATTAATCCAGTTCATCAAACTCATCCTGTTTGATGGCTCATCCCACTCAACTGCTTGTCCCACTCGTCCTGGCCATCCTACTCATCCCACTCACCCTGCTTGTTCCATTCATCCAGCTCAACCCACTCATCCCACTCACTCAATGGCTCATCCCACTCCTTGCACTTGTCCCACTCATCCTGCATATCCCACTTGCTCATCCCACTAATTCCATTTGTCCCACTCATCCCACTCCCAGTCCACATCCTCCAGCCCAGAGCAGAGGTTCACCCCAACACCCTCAGCCCCTGTCACCCCATGTCCCTCAGCCCTGAGGATGCTGCAGACCCACTCTGGGGGCTCTGCTAGGACACAGCCTGGGCCCAGAGCCAGCACAGCCAGAGCCACCACCATAGCCACATCCCAGTTATTGCCATAAACAGCCTTTCCCTTTGCTATGGAGTCACTCCCAGCAATCCACAGCATCCAGGCACTACTCCAGTTTAGGTGGGGTCTCCTCCAGCTCCATCACTGCTCCACAGATGTCGGGGTGTTTGGATGAGGCTGCATTGGCACATGCATCCCCAGCACCAGATGAAACCATCAGCCACCCCATGCCTGTCACCAGGAATGTCACTGGGACCCACCGAGCCAGACTCACACAGCCCTGGATCTGCACCCAGTGGGGCAGGGGACCAAAGGTCTCCCAGGGAGAGCTCCAAGCACCTGCTCTGCATCCCAGCTTCCATGAAGGGCAGAGCTATGGTTACACTTCCCAAGTGGGCACAGGGGGTAAATTAACTTCACTAAAACAGGAGAAAGCACAGAGGGATTGCAATTCCCAGCTGCTGGAGCAGAGTCCAACACCCTCATCCCAGGTGCTTCACACGCAGCAGCTCTGGAGGGAAATGCTGTCTGGAAATAGGCATGGAGAGATCCAAGGGGATCTATTTGGGGACAGATCCAAGGACAGGGTGTGGGCAGGGGACACAGCATGGCACCACTGACAGCCCCAGGAGCTGAGGATGCTGCTCCTGCAGAGCAGGTGAGCAGCACCCTGTCCCTGTCCTGTCCCCATGAGTGCACACATGTGGACCTGTGGGGCCCCCACCCGGGGACGGCTGTCACCTTTTCTTTGGCCTGAGGGGACAAGGATACTGTCTCACCCTGCCAGACTCCTGAGCTGACAGGGTGACCATGGCAGGAATTTTGCCAGCTCTCCTTGGTGTGGTGCAACACCAGAGCCATATCTGCCTCAATATTCCCACTGGAGCTGGTGGAAGATTAATGACACCATTCATCTCCTCAGGATAAGGATTTGTCTCTGCTCCAACATGGACCACCCCCATTCTAGCAAAGACAAATCCTGCCACAGACCAGCCTCCAGAGCCTGCCCTCTCCCTCACGGAAAATGCCCCTTTTTCTCCCCTGCTATCTTCCCCCCTCTTTATCCCTTTGGATAACTGCAGCAGCATCCTGTCCCCATGCATGTGGTGGTGGGGACTCCCAGCACAGGCTCCCCAACCCCCGGCACAGGTTTCCACAGATCCTGCTGGGATTTAATAGCAGCTTTTTTCAGGAGAGGGAATTCACCAGCAGTGAAAACATTACTTTTTTGAATAGGATCAGCCACGTCTGTCCCCTTCCCCCCCCAGTCAGCTGTGGGAGCTTGGTTTGTCCCCCTGGCACCCCCAGCTTCTCTGGATGTTTATGAAATAGAGAAATCCCATCCTGGCCAGCTTTCTCTCCAGAAAGGTCCATTTCACACCTGCCGTGTGGAGGAGGAGGACACTGACCTCACAGGCTCTCAGGTCTCTGAGCTTGCACCCCTTGTCCTGGCCTTGCTCCTGGAAGATGAATGGAGGCACCCCACGGGTGAGGAGGTGCAGGCAGAGGCTGGATCCAGTGCAGTGGGGCACCCACTGGGATGTTCAGCCCTGTTGAGGGTACCTGGAATTTGGGGTCTCTCTCTGAGGGGAGGACACACCTGAGCACTCAGCAAGTAGGCTTTGCATGAGGCAGAGCTCAAAACCAGGACCTGCCACCCACTGGATTCCTCTTTAACCATGGGAAAACAGGCACAGAGAGCCAGGCAGCAATTCCGGGTCCCTGGGAGCATCCTGCTCGTGGAGGAGTGCTGAGCAGGGCTGCAGGATCCATCTGGGGCCTCCCCACCCTGCCTCGCAAGGGGATGCAGGGCTGGGGAGGCCCCAGATGGATCTGCCATTGCTGCCAGAGCACCCATGGGTGCTGATTCTACAGGGGGATGCTGGCAGCAGCCCAGGCTTCTGTAGCAGACTCCTGCCACAACCCTTCCCAAGAAACCTCGAGGAAATGAATCATCTCCCTGCCGAGCTTCCAGCCCAGCTTTGCTGTAAAAATTCCAAGTAAATGATCTGCCAGAGGTGACTGCTTGAGCTTGAGGCATCCATGACACCGTGAGCCCCCAGAGCTCACTCGGCTCCTGCCCTCCAATGGGACTTTATCCATCTGTGAACGCAAGGAAAATGAGCCCAATTAATTTCAGCAGTGGATTAGTCTATTAGCCCCTGCCTGAGCAATCACCTTTGGGATGGAGCTGGACATCGCTCTGTCTGGACAACTTCACCCCCAATTGTGGGCCCCAAATCAAATTAGAGCATCCAAGATGCTGAGTGCGCAGCTCTCGGTGCCTGTGGGCAGCACATCCCAGCACCCACATCGCAGGCAGATGCTTCCCAAAGGATTTTACAGGCTCAGGTTGCAAAGGATTGGGATGCTTGGGAGTGCAGAACACAGCAAGGAGGGGTGTGGGGCAGAGCAAAGGATCCCCCTGCAGCCTGTCTCACCAGCCCCAATGCCTCTCACAGGGGGTTTGCAGACTTGAAGGACAGAGGAGCTGCTCCCGAGGGAATTCCCTACCCGGCAGAGCCCTGGATGAGGAGGGTGACCATGCGGTCACCTCATTGCAAGGCTAAAGCCAGAGCTGGGGGCTTAGGGCTTCCTCCCACTGCAGTCTCTTCAGATGGGATGCATTTTTAGCCAACCTCTGGATCTTGTTACATTTGACAGGTGAAAAGCAGAATCCCGTTTGGATTCCTTGAAGGCAGCCTATCTCCACTCACAGAGCCCCTCACCATTCCCTGTGCCCTACCCACGGGATGCCTGGGTACCTGTCCCTGTCCAAAGGTTCCCTACCCACAGCAACCCTTCGGGCAGATACATCCAGCTCTGCCTTTTCCCAGCCCTTTCCCCTTTCCAGGGAAACCGATGGGGAAATTTTCTCCCCTCCTGCTTCCCCTTCAAGGAGGAAGATGCTGCTTCAGGACCCCCTTTTTCCCCCCCCCATCACAACCAGAGTTGTTTCCAAGCGCACAGGGACAGATGTCCCTGCCTTTGTCACCTCTCCAACGCCTGGCTACAAGGGTGACAGCACCACGGGGAGCAGCTGATCCCCCTGGGCCCCCCAAGCTGAGCCACAGCTGCCAGCAAACACCCAGCCTGCGCCCGCGCCGCCCTGCCCAAGCATTTGCCGAGAAATCTGGCGGCATTAAAAATATCCCAAAATATCCCTGAGCCGTGATTCATCCTCCTCTCCCACCTCCAGCAACGCTGAGCCGCCCCAGCCCCACTCCAGTCCTGGGGGGCTGCTTTCCCCTGGCTGCTCAGCTTCGTGCCCTGGCCACGGTGGTTAAATATAGCCCAGCTCTGTGTGTGTGTTGGCAACGCTGGGCTGGCAACAAGCAGGGCAGGGCCAGGCAGGAGAACACCAGCTTCTGACACTGGGCTGTGAGTGGGGAAACTGAGCTGGGGAGCAGGGAAGCGACTCCTGAAGGCAGCAGGTTGCAGCTTTGCTGTCACCAGCTGTACTGTGGGCAGAGTGACACTGCTGAAACGCTGTCACCCTGTCCCTGTCACCCCCCACACTGCTCCAAGCTCCTTCCCTCTGCCCCACAACCACAACTCCCCAGGAAATCCTCTCCGTAGAGGTGAGAAAACAGAGCAAGTATCCTCAGCCCCCCAAAGCAGCACCCCTGATAACCCTCCAGCAGTGTCCCTGGAGCAAGGTCCAGGGCATCAGAGGATGGAGGGATGGATGGAAGGTAGAGCTGGCAGCTCTGCCCAACTCCAGCTGGGAAGCCATCCATCCATTTCCTCCCAGCACCGCTCTTAGTCCCAAATTACATTGCTTTAATCTAATCAGGCAGCAACAACCTGTAACACGGTAGCTCCTTAATTACCTCATCTTTTCCAGGGGGATAATGAGGGCAAACAGGAAGGAAACACTTCTGGGATATCTCTTGCCTCCTCATGGTCATTTGCCTGGGGTCCTGTTGCAACGTATGGATGGGAAACACCGGCTGACGTGCAGGACCCTGTCACGGAGCCACCCTGGCACCCAGTGATCCAGGCTGAGGCTTCCAAGGGCTGGAGGATGCAAATCTATGGAATCGGCCGTCCCAAAAAAGCACACAAGTAGCCCTGCAAGCCTGTCCCTATCTCAGTTTCCCTTTCTGTGGAGGCTTCCTACCTCCGTTTCCCTACCTGCAAAGGGTCTTGGCTGCTTAGGAAGGCGCTAGACTTTGGTTCAGGGGGAATGAGCCATTCTGAGCCCAGTGTCTCCCCAGAGCTCAGTGCATCCCCTATCTCATCATCCTCCTCCTCCATAGATCAGCCTCGCTGGAGCCTGGCATTCTCACACTGCACAGGACATTTGCACATGGAGTTTCTGCAGCCTGGAACCAGGCAGATGCCACTCCCTGAGGACTCCGCACGTTCTGAGTGAAATGTTTTGCTGAACCAAGCAAATTTCCTCACCTCTGGCAGCTCACAAGCCCTTGGGGTGCTCCTAGTCTGTCCCCCCACATCCTGGCCTGGCCTCCCGGGGCCGAGAGAACAGGGCTGGAGTCAAGGTTGCTTCCTGTTGATGTCCCTTTGTCGGGCAGGACAAATCGGGACAGCAGCCACACTCCTCAAGGATTTCCGTCCCCAGAACATCGTGGCCTTCTTGGAACAGCCGGCTCGGCCACTAGCCTAATGATCTGTCACTCGTTTGTCACTAATTAGTTCACTGTTCTAAGAAAGAAGGTGGTGAGGGCTGGGGGTCTGCTGTGACTTGTCTCTAAGCATGTCAGAGAGGGGGAGAGGGACCCCACTCAGCCCTATGTCACTTGTCCCTAACCCGTGTCAGGGAGGGGCACATGGACCCTCCTACAGCAGCTGCAGGGACACTGCTCCATGGTTAGGAGAATCCCTGGTATGTGGGTGCCTTCATCCCAAAGGACAGACACATCCTGGCACCCAGCTGGCACCAAGTTTTGGGTGCTGGCAGTGGCAGTGCTGGGACAGAGCTGGCACGATGTGCATTCCTGGGACATAGCATTGCTGGAAAAATTTCTCTGGCACACAGTCCCCTTCCCATCCACACTGGATGGGTTTCCAGGACTTTCCTAGATGTTTTCTGGTGGATTAGCTATACAGGGGTCTCCATGTCTGGCTCTACTTGGGACCATCATGGCAAAGCTCTGAGGATGCAGCCAGAGAGGGGCTCGGGGGACATCTAGGTCCCTTGGGGGGATAGGAATCAGTGGGATGGGAAGGGGGATGAAGCATTCCCACATCCATCCATGCAGCCCCTCCTGGTATGGCTGGTACTAATGGGATCTGCACAGTGATTAGGGACCTCATTTATCAGCCTCTGATGGGATCTGGGAAAATTGAATTCCTGGCCATCTGCAGCTGGGGAGGAATTCGATTTGGGCAGTGCTCCGGAGCAGGGTGTGCGGGCTGGGGGCTGGTAGAGCTGCCCCCCCCCAGGGGTTCCACTCTGTCTGTACAAGGACTGCTCTTATTTTCCATGCCTGAGAGGGTTTGGTGGTGGGATGCAGCTCTTGATTGCCTTGAAGGAGTCTAGGAACTGGGGGGGGGGGGTGCTGCGTCTTACTACTCAGATGGTGAAATTGAGGCACGGTCAGGAGAACAGAGCCTGTTACATGGCAGAAAGGATTTCAGTGCTGATGTTGAACGGGTCAGCACCCAGCCAGGGATTTGGCCTCCAGCCCCCCTTTCTCTATGGGGGAGGTTCCAAATGTGTGGCCAGGGCATCCAAAGGTGCCAGACACCCTGCATCTGCCAGAGCTGGGCTGGGAGCAGACATCCCTCCTGCACCAGGGATGGAGACTTGGGAGCTAGCTCTACTCCCTGGCATTTTCCATCCCATGGCTCCCTCGGGCAGGTCCCCACCATCCTCTCCCCCACATCCATGGAGTGGCCAGAGTGGGTATGCAATAGAATTCAGCTGCAAAGATCGCAGGCCAGTCCCCAAATCCATGGACTCAGCACCCAGAGGGCCACCCTCCAGACCCAGGCTTGCAGGGGATTCCAGCCCATCACCTCCCTGCCAAATGTCACAGCTCAACTCCAAAAAGACAAGGTCACCCATGGGGCCTACCCTGTTCAGGGGGAAGATGCTACCATGTCATCCTGCAACAAGAGCATCCTGATCCCAGCTTCTCTCTGCCCAGGGTGCAGCAGGACTAATCCCCTCCAACTCCTTCTGCGTGGGGGGGCAGCAGGAACACCCCCATCCCAACTCCCCTGCCTGGGGTGCAGTAGGGCACTCCCACCTCAGACCTCCCTTCCTGGGTGATGTCATGGGGCATGAAAGCACTGGAACCTATATCCCAAACCCCATTGCCCCTCAAAAATGAGCACCAGGGCACTGCAGTGCTGATTCCACACCTGCAAGCAGTCACTCCTTGAGACCCCCACACCTTTGGGTATAGGGACCACCTGGCTGGGAAACACTGGGGTGCACCCACCCATCCCAGTTTGGGGATCTAGCTCTACCCCCCAGCCCTGCTGAGTGTGGGAGGAAGCCAGCCCTGCTGCATGTAATGGAAAGAAGCCGCCACGGCCCTTTCCTCCCCTTTATTGCCCTGCTGATGTGTTTGTGTCTGCCAGAGGAAACACAAGGACAAACGCCTGCACACGCATGTCCCCTCACTGCCCTCAGCAGGTCCTCAGCCCACTGAACATGGCTGGTCCCATACAGGGGGAAACTGAGGCAGGAGGAGCCCCACGGTGCTGGCTGAGGCCACCCAATTCCTGGCAGGTCGGTAAAGGTGCCTGAGTGTAATCCCCCACAGCCCCCTCCCAATCCCTGGGGAGAGCGGGGGGGCCTCCCAGCCCATCCTGCTTCTCCAGGCTGTGAACATGTATCAATTAGGGCTTGATTCATGATCCAGTCTGCAGGTAATTGCATTGGAACTGGTGGCAGGGAAGGAGAGGATGAACAGACATTCTCAGCCTCGCCCCACTGCAGGGTGTTGGGGGGTAATAATGCCCCAAGCCCTCTATACCCGCTATGTGCACCCCCAAGCTCGGGGACGGGAGTTGCAGATGCAACCAGTCCCCAGGACACCAACGGGGACAGGGGTCCTGTGGTATTCTGTGGGGGATGAGCTGTTCCTCACCCACCCTGGGCTGGGATATGCTGGGGAAGGCACGGGATCCATCTCCACCACTCACTCCTCATACGTCCTGGGTCACATGCCATTTTCCACTGTGGCCTCACATGCCAGGGATAGCTGGGGCTCCATCTCTGCCCCACCATGGGATCCACTCCTCCTCGTCCTTGTCACCCCAGCACTGGTGGTCTGGTTTAAAACCAGTCTGCCCACCGCCACCACCCCATCTGAGTGGGTTTTGTACCCCCAGGCTGGGAGCAGTGGTTCCCTTACCCCCACCCCCAGATCCCTTTGGGGGGGCTGTGTCCAGGGCTCAGAGCCTGCCCAGCTCTCAGCACCCTCCTAGGTCAGGCCCAGGTGGGTTCTGGGGGGCTGGCACCGAGAGGGCTCACAGGGACGCCCGTGTCACTGCACTGGGCGCTGAGGGTGTCACATCCCACTCCCGTGCTGACAGTTCCGATGTCCTCAAGCCGCCACCTTCCCATCCGGAGGGGGAGGGGGGCTCATTTCCCCCCCGCCCGGGGCACACTGGCCCTGCTCAGCTTCTTTCTCTCCGTCAGCAGCTTTCGGCAATTTCCCAGAGAACGCTTCCTTCCCTTCGTTTCCCAGCTTGAATCTCGGGGTCCTCGCTCCTGTCTTGAACCCCTGGAGCCCCCCAAGTAGCTGTATCCCCCAGGGAGACCCAGGCCACGGTTCTCACACCCAAAACCATTGGCACACAGGTCAGGGATCCATCCAGGCGAACAGACAGTCGCAAGTGGGGAAGAACCCCCCTTAAGTTACCCCCCTCCCCAAATTTGGGTGTGCTCGAAGGCGCAGGAGCAGGGAGGACCAAGCGTTTTCCCACCCACGTACTGGGATGCAGCCTCCATCTCCCCAAAACGTGCAGCTGGTGCAAGGAGGGTGGGACTCGGAGCTGTGTCCTGCTGGGGGTGCAGAAGGGGCTCCCTCCTTCCCAGCACACCCACCCCGAGGTCTGGCCGCAGCATGGAATACGCAGCCGAGCTCCTGAGGCTCCCACTGCCAGCGGGGCCAGGGGACACAGGGAAGGGGGGACTCCAACCCCCCCAGACACCCCCAAGCACATCGCTCCCCCAAACGCCCCAGGAGAGAATGGACCCCCAGCCCGAGGCCACAGATCCCCCGGGACCCCCCGGGTATCCCTTTCCCCAGGGGTGCTCACAGTGTCCTGGAGAGTCCCCATGGCGCTGCCCGGCTCCTGGCGCGGCTGCGGGAGGGCGTGGGGGTCCCCCCGGGACCGGGCCGCCCCCCCCCCTCCCAGTCCAGCCCATTTCCTCCCGGGATCCCGCCGGGATCCGCAACACCCCCCCCCCCCCCCCGCCCCCCCCCAGCCCGCTCCTCCTTCTACATGAAACCCAGCGTGTCCCCAAGCCTCGGGGTGGGGGGGACACAAAACAGCATCGACCCCCGCCTCGGGAACCCCATTCGTGTCTCACTTTCCCTGTCGAGCTCTCCCCGTGGGGTTCAGAGCTCCCCACCGAAAAGGAGGAGACAAGCGGGTGCAAACGTGCTCGGGAAAGCCCCCGCGGCCCCTGGTGCGGGAAGGGATGGGGAATCCAGCAAGCCCCGCTCCCACCGCCCCCTACCCCTCACAGCGCCGAGCACGGCGAGTCGAGAGCCCCGGCTCCCAGCCCCGCCCCACAGCAAAAACACGGGGACCCACCACCACCCCCGGGACCGAGCGGGAAGGGACACCCTGGGAATGGGGGTTCCGGCTGGGAGAGGGGGTGGGTCGCGTCTCGTGGTTTGAGAGGGGAGAAGGGTTGAGGGTCCCGGGTGGGAGAAGAGGCGCTTGGGGTGGGGGTCCCCAGTAGCAAGGCAGGCGAATCGGGTGTCCCAGGTGTCAGGGAACGTGGGTCGGGGTCCCAGGTTGGAGCGGAGGCGAGTCTGAGTTCCCGAGTTGGGGGGGCGGGGGCGGTGGGCTGAGGGTCCCAGGTGGAACGGGAGATAATTGGGATTGGGGTCCCGAATGGGAGGGGACGCGGTTGGGAATGGAAATCCGGGTTGAGAAGAGAAGGGTCCCGAGTGGGAGGGAGGTGCGGGGGACCCCTCGGGGGGAAGGTCCCGACGTCCCTACCTGTAGCGCCTCGGGGCCGGGAGCGGCGTCCCCCGCCCGCAGGAACCCGCGGCTGAAAAAGCGAAGGAGCGCGATGAGGAGCCGTGGCACCATCCCGGCACCATGCCGGCACCATCCCGGTCCCGCGAACCCCCGCACCGCCCGCGGGCTGCGGGCACGCCCCCGCACCGCGACACGCCCCGTCACGATACGTCCGATCACGACACGCCCCGCACCTGCTGCGCGGGGCAGCGGCTCCGCGGGGCTCCGGGAAGCGAGGGTGGGCGGGGGGTGTGGGGTCGGACATCCCTCTCCAACGTGTGGTGAGGGTCCCCGGTGTGGGGCGGGGATCGAGAAGGTGGTGCCGATGTGGGAAGTGGGTTGGGATGTCACTCCCTGGTATTGGGAGGGGGTCAGGGGTGCGAGTCCCAGTGTGGGGTGGTGAAGGGGGAATCCGGGGTGGGGTGGAGGCGTCCTTGTGGGGAGAGGATCAGGACATCGCTCCCCAGTTTGGGTGGTTCCGCTCTGGAGCCCCTGTGGGGCAGGTACCGGGTCTGGTATCTGGTATCCCCTTCTTTTAAACCCCCCTCTCGTGGGGATCGGGCCAGGAGTTTCCCCCTTGCCTCTTCTCCCTTCTGAGGCATGTTTCACCTCCCAAAAAAGCGACCCCTGCCCCCTTAAAGGATGCGCCTCACGTTTGCGTTAGGGCGGTCTGCCCCTCATCGTCTCTGATGGAGGGGCCGAAATCTCATCCCATCCCTTGCCCTGATGCAGGACCCAGTGCTGCATCAGAAAGTGTTCCCTGGCCCGCATCCCATAGGATACTGAAGGGGTCCTACCCAGCAACCCTCTCTTTGATAGGGAAGGACCCCCATTTTGGGGACCCCTCTGTTCGCCCCGACCCTCCTACAGAACCCCCCACTGCCTTCAGCGAGGAGTGACACCTCCTCCCCTTTCCCCCCCACCCGCCCCCGAGACAAGTACCAGAATTTCGGGATGCTGCCCCTATCCCAATGACCCCAGGGAGTCTGCATGAATCGACGTGCTCAGCCGTCACACGATGACCACATGCCACACGGTGAGATGGACACCGGCAGCGCATCCCTCTCCCTCATCCTCCTCCTCCTCTGGGCAGAGGAGAAAGTTCTGGTCTAGGGGAGGATGCCCTGCTCTTCCTCCGCATCCCGGGACTCCCCAGACCCCAGGCACTCTCGTGTCCCTTCACCCCTGTATCCTTGCCCCTCCACGTCCCCGTGTCCCTGCAGTCCCGTGTCCCATTCCCTACCGTGTTCCTGCACCTCTGTGTCCCTGTCCCCAGGGTGTTCTTCAGGGACAGGGTGCTCTGGGGTTTCGCTGGTGGCTCGTAAAGGACCCGACCTTCTCGCATCGTCTCTCACCCCTCGTTAGGACAGGTCGTGACAAGGAAATGCCACCTCGAGGAATGGGCCAAGCAGGGGAGGGTTTAGGGACATTCTGCATGCTGCACCCTCCATCTCGTTTCCTGCACCTCGACCCCCGGGATGCCGGGCCGGGGGTCCCGGAGGAGGCCCAGGGTGGCCAGTGGAGCCGCGGGGCCATCTAGTGGCCAGAGCCACCGGGAGCTCCCGGCTGATCCCGGGCACCCTCCCGCAGTAACCCCTGCCTCCAGGCGGTCCTGCCCCTGGTGGGGACACAGGGCGACGGGCGTCTCTCCCCGGGGATGGCACAGGATCGTGGATACCTAAACCCGACTTAGCCTCCCAGGGCAGCATCTCACAGTGCCCATCTTTCTCTCTAGGACACCACCAGAGCCGCCAGATCCCCAAGATCAAGGCGTGGAATCCTCACTATGGGTTCACCCTGCTGCAGGTACCAAGCGTCACCCCAGCCTGGACAGGTCCTGCTGGCACGGATGCACGAATCCATGAATAAAGCAGATTCCCCGGTGGGAATAGCAGATTTCCTGTGGGGCCAGCAGTGGGAACACCCCAAGGAGCTGGGAGCTGGCAGGATCCATGCCAAACCTGGCACAACTGTGTCACCAGAGCCAACCACAGAGCAGCTCACAGCCAGCACGGCTGCCCAGAGAACACAAAGCCACTGCTAGGAACAAGGACACAGCACAGAACTGTCCCCAGTGCTCGCCCAGAGATGCCTGGGGGCAAGGGGTGGGACACAGGGGTGCAGGGACACAGGAGCTGCAGGGACATGATGGAGGACTGGGGAGCAGGTGGTGGGACACAGGGATATAGGCACAAAGGCCTGGGGACAGAGAGTGTGACACAGGTGTAGGGACACAGGGAAATGGGACACAGGAGTGCAGGGACACGGAGGTGGAGGGACACAGGACAGGGACACAAGGACATGGCAGTGTAGGGGCACCTGGGGGCAGGGGAATGGGACACAGGTCCAGGGATGCAAGGGTGCAGAGACTTCTGCTGCAGTACCACCGTTGCATCCATGCATCATTGTTCATCTCCCAGTCAGTCCCAGGGTAATTATGAGCTGCTCCCTGGCTCTTCTGTGTGTCCCAGCAATGGCATCCCTTGGATGGGAACATCAGAGCAGTCAGATAGGCACACACAGCCTCAGAACCCAGCCGTGGAGCTGCTGGGTAATAACTGTAGGTGCTGAGGAGAGGCAGCAGTGTGGGTTTCCCACATTTCCATCCATCCTGTAGTTTTCCCTTGTTCCCAACCTGGAGTGGATCAGCGCTGTGCCTCCTGTCTCTTCCTGGGAACTTGGGGAGCAGCCACCCCGCATCCCATCTGGAGGGTGTCTGATGGCATCAATGGGAATAAAGTTCATGCAGGCAAGTAAATATTAACCTTTATTCCATGGTAATGGAATATTCCACACCAAAGACACTGAGATAAACCTCACACCAGCTTTTCCCTGGGAGGTGCTGGCAGCAAATGGCATCAAACTCCCAAAGTTAAAGATTTTGGGAGGTTAAGGCACCAAGATGAGCCTTCACACCCCGTGTAACCCTAAAATCCCATTTCTCCCCATCCCTAGCAACTGCAGCAGCCTGCCCTCAGAACAGCATCTGTGGGTATACTGGACATACTGGGAGCACTGGGATGGGAGGAGAGCAAGGCAGGAGGGCAGCATGGCTGGCTGTTCCCAGCTGGGCCAGGACTGCTGTGAGTCATGTAGGATCAGCAGTGCTCCATTAAACTTGGCACTGGCAGCCAGGTGCTGGCTCTGGGGAGGCACAGGACTGTGCAGCCTTCTGGAGCATCCCTGTCCTCCAGGAAAGGAGGGGACACAGTGTCCAATGCAGGTGGCACATAGGGCTGGGAGTCCTGCCCATAGAACAGAGAGGACTGAGACTCAGCTGCTGGATCCATGAATGAATGGGGGTGTTATTGCTCTGGAGCTGCTAATCCAAGGTACACTGACAGCTCTAAATCCCATCAGAAATCAATCCATCAGAGCTCTTCCGCTCTGCACTAATCCCAACAATGGCACCTGATCGATATCCCATTTACTGCTCTGTGGTTTCCCCATGGATACATCCCACTCAGTGCCCTGGATGCAACTGCAGTGCCTGAATGGGGCAGGGAATGCTGTGGGGCAGGGAATGCTGTGGCATCCCTCACCTGAGCAATGTCAGGCACTGTGGTGGAGCTGCCAGGAGGCTCCATGGCACCAGGTGGGTTCACAGCACGGACCTGCTGGAAGCAGCAGGAGAGTTGGGAATGTGTGGAAGCAAGGAAGAGCTGTGCCTGCAGTTGTTGTGCACGTGTGTGAGTGTGTGTCTGCACCACTGTCACCCCCAGAAGTACCAGAAAACCAGCAATGTGGGATCCAGGATCCAGGTGAATCCCTTGATCCACCACAGGAGCCACAGCCCAGAATGATCTCAGACTGGGCAGGGATGGGGTGTCCTGGCACCAGCCCCTCTGCGGGGATGGCCCCCAGAGGTGCCAACTGCAGGGACCAGGTTGCATCAGGTCTGGGCCTTGGGCAATCATTGGATTCAAAGCAGGATAACACAGGGATGAGGATGGGATGAGGAAGTCCTGTGCTCTTCAACATCTTTATAAATGACTTGGATACAGGACTGGAAGTTCAGACTAAGCAAGTTCACAGACAATAAAAAACTGGGAGAGGCTGCTGACAAATTAGAGAGTTGGACAATCACCAAGTTTGTGAAGTTCAAGAAGGATTCTGCTCCTGGGATGGGGCAACCCCGATGTATGTACAGACTGGGAAATGATTTCCTGGAAAGCAGTGTCGTGGAAAGGGTGCTGGTGAACAGTAAGTTGAACATAAGTGACATGAGTCACACCCATGTCATGGGGGGCCATCAGGCCCAGCATCACCAGCTGAGTGAGGGAGGGGGTTGTCCCACCCTGCTCTGCACTGGGGCAGTTTTGGGCATGACAAAATAAGAAAGACATTAAGCCACTAGAGAGAGTCTAAAGGAGGGCAATGAGAGTGGTGAAGGGCCTTGAGGGGAAACTGTATGAGGAATAGCTTGGGCTGTTCAGCCTGGAGAAGAGGAGACTGAGAGGAGAATTCATTGCAGGCACAACTTCCTCGTGAGGGAAAGAGGAGGGGCAGACACTGATCCCTGCTCTCTGGTGACCAGTGACACTCCTGAGGGAATGGTCTGAAGTTGTGTCAGGGGAGGTTTAGGTTGGATATTAGGAAAAGATTCTTCACCCAGAGGGTGGTTGGACACTGGAACAGCCTCCCCAGGGCATTACCAAGCCTGACAGAGTTCAAGCAGCATTTGGACAGTACTTCTGGGGACATGATGTGACTCTTGGGGACAGTGCTGTGCAGGGCCAGGAGTTGGACTTGATGCTCCTTGTGGGTTCCTTCCAACTGAGCAGATTCTGTGGATGACAAACGGATAAGGAAGGGCCCAGCTGATGAAGTGATACCACTGATGAGTAAGTGATGGAGCCTTAGAGGGTCTCTATGGAGACAGTTCAGAGCACGGCAGGGGCTGGAGGGCCACTAGCAGCCCACACACATGACAGGGCTAATTAGGGGGACAAATGGGAAGGCAGAGCCCTGCTGCTCCCACTGTGGTGGTCAGGTCCCTGTGGGGCTGAGATGGTTCTTGGCTCTGTTCCCACACCTCTCTTCATTCTTCAGCTGCTTTCCCAGCAGCTCAG